GCCGGAGTGAGAGCAATAATTCTAGGGCCAGTATTTTGGGGTATCTCTAAATTGATGACCTGTGGGGGCTTTTAAAGCGTCTTTTATTGACTTTTTGGGGTACTGCAGTTTTTTGCCGTTTCACGGTCGCACGCAATCTGTAAACTGGGCATGTTGGGTATCGTTTTACTCGTTGTAACCTCATCTTTTATATTTCATTAAAAAAATGGGTAATTTGTTGTGTTTTGGGGCATTTAATTAAATTTGTCACTAAATTTTGGGGTTTAATAAGGAGTTGCGCTAATATTGCGCAACATAAAAATTTTCAACTACCACCATTTTATTCTATAGGGTCTTGGCATTCAGAAAATATATAATGTTGGGGGGTTTTACCTCATTTTCAGGCCTAAAATGTGGAATATAACATGGGTGCAAAAAATGAAAAAAAGGGCCTCAGTCATGAAGGGGTTAATCAAGGAAAGAATGGACAAAGCGCACAGCGCAATACTTAGCTCACTGGAGAAAGTTCCAGGATTTAATATATCTGGCATGAATCTAATCGCAGATGAGAGACGCAACATTTTCCAAACAAAGAACAGCAGAGCTGGAAAAAAAAAACACATCCACTCATCTCAATGATGGTCTTAACCCAGCAATGAACTGGGAAAGAGGTTCTCTTGGGTACGTTTGAGTTGCCTCCTTTGGGGTCTGTCTGAGCGGCTTCCTTCCAGTTGATTTCTGCCTTAGACATTGATATAAAAGATCTTCTGCATCCTTCCCTGCCTGCTCTTTGTTTAAAGCCTATGGTCTTGGTCGCATGTGCAGGATCATGACAGTGTTTCGCTCAGCAGACCAGTGAAGACAGTGACACACAAGCAATAGCACTTAGTGGAGAAAGATTTGTGGGGCTGGAGTAAAGAAGATGAACTGTTTAAATTCAGAAAGGTAATAAAGTAGGTGCTGCATATATTGTTTTATTTATCAGAATTGGTAATTTAGGATTGTTTTAAAGTAAACTAAAATAGTGAACAGGTGTCCCAGCAAAGACTACTAACTTACCTCTCCCTCTGCACATGCTGCCAAATACTGCTCTACCCAAGGAAAACCCAGCATTAGAAATCTCTTCAGAAACCGACACTTCTGAGAGAGAAGTGACCTAAAATTCCTTCAGAAACAAACTTTTGGGAGTGGTAATCTCCTGGTCCCCAACTCCACTCAGGTTCCTCGTGCCGACCCCTACATCACTAGAGAACACAATAATGACGTATGGCTCAGCCAGAGGAATCACTGAGCACAAATAGAGACCAGGAGATAAACACTTGCAGAGGTGTTGGTTTTGAAGGGATTTCAAGTGACAATTTCATTTAAAACAAAAGCAGCATTCTTCTTTGAAGGATATTTCTAGCCACTGTTTCAGTTTAGCAACAGAGTCACTTTAAGATTCAACTCTTTCTCCTTTTTTTCTGGATGGTGCATACCCAAACACACTAGGGGGAACAGTAGCAGAGTGGAAGGAAAGATTTTAGATCTCAATAACAGAATATATGATGGTTTGTAAGTTCAGCAATTGCCTCAATCAGAAAATGTTATGGCAAGAAAGTGCCAATAGGAAATACAGGAAATGTTCTTACCGTATTTGAACCCCAGAATACATATGATTATAGATGTCATTATCTTCCAGTACTCCATGTCCATTGTCATAGAAGTATACACCGACCTAAAAGACAATTAGTATTTTGTTATAAACATGGACAGTGTTCCTGACTGGCTGTATATTCTGGTATAGAAAATCTACCAGCTCCCCAAATCATGATGAGCCCACAAAGAAGTTATTTACTAAAACATGGGAGGCTGTTATCTACCTAAGTCTGCAATGGTAACTGTTTGTAGAATGTGGTCTTATATAATCTTCCTTTGTGGGAGGGATCTGGGGGTACTATTTGTCACAGTGATTTACATGCACTTATGTGCCCCACCAATATGTTGGACGTGGATAAATACATTCATTTATACTTCTTACTTCCTAGCACAAGTATGGAAAGTAACAGAACAGCATCAGTGTGGAACCTATAAATAATAAGGTATAATTTACTCCTTACCTGCTTTCCACTGTGTATCCTGTTCCTCCGTAACACTGGAGTACTTCCTGTTGTCACCCAAACTCCAGCTAACGTGTTACTATAGACCTCATTTTCTTCAATTACGCCCTGTCCTTTTTCATGCTGTGAATAAAAGATAAAAACACATAGAAATGTG